TACCAATAATAAATACATGTATATAAATTGATAATAACTCTATTCCTTCAGTTTAATTAAAAAAATAAAATAAAACTGGAATTATTATGATATAATGTTAAAAAAAAGAGAAATTTAGACTGGTTTGGATCTGAATTCATTGACGCAAATAAATATAAGAATTAGACAAGAATTGTCTGACTAAACAGCAAAAACAGTGTGACGGAAAAGAAATGAAAGAAAAAAGAAGTTTGTTCCAAAGCAAGACTAACGTTAAAAATTGAAATCAATAAACAATTAAATATTATTATCATCTCAGTATTATTACTATTAGGTTAGATTAGGTTATAGTAACAGCCTTATGTCCAAAACTCACTTAAACTCAAATAATGTACCGTTGTGATACACCGAATTCGCGTTGTTCATACGTAGACTGGAAGGTCAGTGTACGAACCACGCTGAAAAGCACGACTTCTCCATTAACGTCAAAGTAAACCAATTTGATAAGTCTATAAAATTAGTCAAGTCTCTAATTTTAGGTCGGTCGGTATTGAATAAAAGCTTCTTAGAGGCTGCAAAGCAAAGATGCGTTTCTCAGGAGATATGCATGCACAAGTGGAGCTGGTATATTACTCGCAGGGCTATAGACTGGAATCCGCAGGGAAGCCAACGAAGAGGGCGTCGGGTCATATATGGCGCATGCAACTTAGCTTCGAAGTTGCTAGGACAGGAAAAACTTGAGTGAAATCGGTATAGAATAATCTAATAGATAATCTAATTGTAGTTCTTTGCTCCTCATAGCATCTACGAGAACTAATATATATTTATAAGTGACAGTGCAAGATAAGAAAAATTAAGATGAACTGATGCATTTCAGAGTAATAACCTTCACATTGTTTGAAAATCCACTCCTTTATTTGTTTTTTCATTTCCGTTGAGTAGTGGTTGATTCAAATTGCAACAATTGTTTTGAATATATGCATAAAGTTTACTTTGTTTTGTTTAAATCTTTCTGCTAGATTAAAAAAAAATTGACATTATTAAATGCCTAAATCCTCATCGAATATTTTCTAGGTGAAGTTAATCGAAATACTAATATCCTTAACAAGCTTTTTCATGCTTATTTGAGAAACAATGCTTTGAAAATATTTTGTATCAAATATTTTATTTAAGAGGCAAAGTAGCAACCACAGTACCTAGGACCACGTGATCAACGATTTGAAGACACTCGGTATTACTAGTTGGTGACAACAAGCCACGGATCGGGGTGGCTGGTGAAAGCTATTTAAAACGGCCAAGGACGACTCAAGTCTATAATGGCTAACTAACAACAATAACATGGAGAAATAGCTGTAGTTTTTGGCTAACACGAAAGGAATTTAAAAAGTGAATTGATACGTTTAATTTGAAAACAGCCACATACGTTTTCACTGTTAGATACCATGGCGCAGGGTCTCTTAAAACTTCATTTTATTTGAATTTAGTTCGCAATGAGTTTTAACGTATCATTATATAAAAATTTAATAACTGTGTTAAACTTGGTCTTCACATCAAATTTTCACAAACATTTGCATACATTGCCATCATTTGTCAACCAATGAAAAAAAATTTGATAGTAGAACAAAGATATATATTACGATTAAAAGTAAAGCTCTTCGTCCGTCCTGTACCAATATGAAACTCTGTTTGCAGAGCTTTTGTTGCAATACTATATATTTTAAATTGTTGTGATATGTCTAGATAAGAAATCATATTTATTAAAATAATATTTTATATTGAATTGCAATTTATAGAGTTCATTATTGTAATTGTTTTGATTATTCGATTTATTATTTGTAAAGTAATGCTTACGGTGATTGTTATATCTTGAAAAATATAGAAAATTCAATTAGTTTTTTTTTATATAAAATTATCTCGAAATAATTTGTAGTCATTATTTAGAGGTGTGATGCAGTAATTTTAACTTCGTGTAGTCAATTACTTTATTTAGTGTGCCAACTTTTTTTTTATTGGTGGTATATTGAAATACTATATTTTTTTTAACTCGATATCTAATCAAAAGAAACCACATAATAAAAAAAAAATAATCGTAAATGAGACAAATATATTAGTTATTCGTTGTTGCTTGAGTTTTATTTTTGTATGTAATGCCTTTAGCTCATGAAATCAAATAAACTACGAGTTAAGCTTCGTTGGTTGAGATTATAATGAACACATCTAATGAGAGGCTGCGTCTATAGGGTTATAGGGATTAATAATTTATTGCAATACCGTGTTAAGGTGATTACAATAAAAATACCTTCGAATTTGATATTTTTAATAAATTTCATATGGGTTTATATATATGATATTTGAAAAATAATTAAATTCCAGCAAAATTCACTTAAAACCAATTTAACTTAATAAGAAAATGTAAAAGAAAAAAATGTATTGTGGCGTTCAGAGCAAAAACCTCAAAGTAGCACAAATGTCAATTGCAAGAGTTTT